ACTGGGAGACAGTGACATCCTATGGTCCTGAGTCTTCTCCTTTGTCTTTTTTGTGTTTGTTTTTGTTGAAAAAACACGTGAGCCTTGTAGGTGGGAGGAAACCTCAATATTCATTTTTTCCCCCATAATGTTAGGCTGTTGTAAACTTGTCTGTGTCTGTAATGGAGTTTAAGAGACGCCTACAACTTAAAACTGTATATACCATTGGAAAATATGACATCACTTGATTATGATTCTGAATGCTTATTTTATTGAATAAGATGTTTAACAAAACTAGGCAGGAGACCTTGAGAAAAACTGAGAAACCATTTTCTTCACCTAACCTATAGTATGCTATAATCTACCTGATTTCTGAAATTCTTCTTCCATGCTACATGATAAAGACCCTCCTCCTTTTTTGATAAGTCTTAATTTCCCATCAGTCTTTTTATCTATTAATTGTTTGTTGGCTACTCCTGGGAATTTCTCCTTTCTTCAGTCTCACAGCTCTACCCACAGGAAACCTATATATGTGCCCAATGTGCTCCCAAAAGCCACTCTAATTAAAGCACCCCCCGACCCTGAAACACATGTAAAGATGCCCACAAGTTTAAACTGTCATTGTGCTTGCTTCTTTCTTCAGACATCATGAAAAATGTTTGTATTTAAAGCTTGTCTAACTTTATCCCTACCATGAAGTTGGTTCAATAAAAGATGTCAGCCACAAAAATCCTTGCCTTATGTACAATTAATGATATTCCAGGAAATTTCTGCTTTCTTTCCCCTTAGGATGTGTCTTATTTCTCAAACAAGCTAGCACTGCTGGACATATACCTAAATGTGTTTGTAAACACTGCAAAAATCAACTTTTGTAACTTTTATCTCACTTTAATAGTCTGTGTTATTCTATTTCATGTTATGCTACATTTTGAAACACTTATAAGAATTGATTATTGGACTTTGTGTAAAAAATAGTTGAAGTTTAATTACAAGTTTTAAGCCTATTAACAATGGTGGATTTTAAGTCTAGTAACAATTTGGTCAATAGTTGAGCAGCTGCAAGAAAGTTTCATTAAAGAACAAGATCACTTGTGTAAGATACTACTTGAACACAAGATCATTTGTATAAGATTCTTATGTCAGGAAAACATAAAATATTTACTTCTTCATAAGAGCCCTGACTTTCATGATAAATAAAGATATTCAATTTAAGACCCAAAAGAATATAGGCATATATTGTCAAAGCCATAAGCTAGGTCATTCTGCTCACCACTCTTTGCAAGTAAGAGCCTCTGGTTTAAACCTACTGAAAAGGTGTTTCTTAATGTAAGTATTTTTATTGTACTTTAAGAGAATGCTGTTAGCTCTACAGAAGATGATCATTTTTGGCACATAATTTATATTTCATTTCAGCTTTGGTGCTTCCTTAAATACCTGAAATGACAAGACTCTTGTGATGCTGAATAGAAGTCTTTATCCAGTAACTCTTGAAACGTTGCTATATTCTTCATGCATAATACAAAATACTTTCATGCTGCAGTTTATTACTGATGTAAGAAACAATTAAAAATAAAAAAGTAAGTTATATTAATTGGAAAATTATTTTTCTGGCACTCTTAAGTGACTTCTCAATGAAACAGAACAAAAGAACCCATCCAAAGGCTGTTAAAAGAAAAGACCATGTAAGTTTAAAGAACTCTTTTAAAGAATTAAATGAGTTTAAAAGACTATTTTGAGAACTAAAAGACTTTATATAAAGGAGCTATATTATTTAGACAAATATGAAAACATTTTGACTCCTATTACTCTGTAGGAAACACATATCCTAGAAAATGGAGCGAAGAAAAAATTAAACCTCTGAAGATGGTCTGAGAAGCTATATTCATGAAAAAAAGAAAGGAAATTAAAGGCTTGGTGTTTACACATTAATAGACTATATACAAGATGTAGATGTAACACAAATGAACAAATGTGCTGAGACAAAGAGAGGAACACAATATCTAATTTAGAATCTAGCCAAGAATGACAAAGAAGTGTGTTTTTTCTCCTTCCATGAAGTTATGGAAGAGAAGGTTACAGAACCCCTCCGAATAGCACAAACCATTTCTGTATCTTTCCTCTTACCCTCAACTTGACATCATGAATCATAGCTCTTCTAGTTTATGTCTCCAAGCAGGCAGCAATCAGAGAACTATCAACGACATCAAAGAACAAAAGAAGCAGCATGGGGAGGAAGCAGCTTTCCAGTTCAAGATGACATCACCACCAGAACTTCAACATGTGTTGGTGAAGCGAGGTTGTGACCTAGTGCCAAAAGACTAGATTTACATTTTTGTCTGTAATGATTTTAATGAAATATTGAAATGTTGTTGTCATATAGGATGCTAACATCTTCTCCTGTTAAATAAATACCAAATGGCTTGCACAGTGTAATTCTGAAGAGGAGATACGAGCTAACCTTTGAGTGGAGCAAAGGAGCAAGATTTAATTCATTTTTAAGTGTCTTGAAAGTAACCGATTTGCATGCATAAGGACAACTCCCTGAATAGTTTTCTTTTAAAAAAGGATTAAATACTTAAAAAATTTCTATGATGCTTAGTAAAGATTAGTCATATTTCCCTGTTTTTAAACTGCTTAGTTTATCCATAAAACTAAACGGGATTCACTTATCCTTAAATAGAATTCTTTTGCTCATCCATAAATTGTTTTAGTTATTTATGATACACTAAGCCAAAACCTGCTATCACATAATTTGAGGCTTTCTGGTCCTCTCCAAAGATAGACCTACATTTATGGTACATACAGACATTCATGGAGTTTAGGTGGAGGTTAGACAGAGTTAAAAATGGCTACTTAATCTAAGGTAATTTGAGATGGGGAGTTAGTGGGGGGGCCTTGGGGGAAATCAGTGGGGTAAGTAGGCTGGGGGTGGGATAAGAGGGATCAGGGAGGAAGAGGGGTTGGCAGCAGGGATTGTGGGGATCAGGGGGACTGCTGGGAGGGCTTGGTGGGATCCAGGAGGGTTAGCTGGGATTAGGGGGGCTAAGAAGGTCCTCAGGGTGGGGATTTCCTCTCTACCACCCCAGAACCAGGGGCTATTTTTAGCCCTCTGACCCCCACTTAATTGAGTCATTCAATTTAGAGCACCCTTGCCTGGGGTTTTGAAAGCTTAAAGTATATGTTACCTAAATCTGGTTGGAATGTATTGCATGAATTTATAGGGCATCACAAATCCCATAACACACTATGTCAGTTTGTTTGGTCACTGAATGTTTTAAGCCAACTCAACTTGAAGTGAAATGGCTTGTCCTTTCTTGAATAAATAGTTTAATAACTTTTCATGCTTTGAAAAATGTTCATATTTTAATTGTTTCCTGATTTAGTGAAAAAAAAGACAAAATATTGGAATTTTCCATGGGACGGAAAATTCTGAGTTTTGAACAATCTATGAACAGGGAGAAAGGTTACTGTAAACAGAAAAATTATTCACAGTAAATCATTTGACTATCTCCAGACATAGGGATGATACTCCTTGGCAATAAGGAAGTGGCAGTATTTAGCAGGCTGAGCTATGTGGAATACTTGACTCAGCATTTGGGATGACTGCCATTTTATTTTATTTATTAGTCTGTGAGGAGCAATTTCATGTTAATGTATTGCTTGCTAAGTAATTGGTGCTTGAGTCAGTTCTGATTGTATCTTCTGTTGTGGAGTGGGGTGAGTGTAGTGATCACCGGGTTTAATAAACACAAGCATACACAAATGGGAAGAACTAAACAACAAGCCTTATTTGTGGAGCAGTAGGAAACTCCTGAAGATGCTTTTTCTTTCTAAGTAGTTAGTTATTTAACTGAAGGGCCATCTCCTAATTACAAGCTTCTTCACTCTAGTTAGCGAACATCTTTAAATGGTAACTTCTATCACTACAGGGGGTGGGGACGGGAATTCTTTTTTTCCATGAAGTTGTCAAACCACAAAATTCTGGCCCTCATTACATCTAGACATATTACAAAATACAAGCTGCCTTTGAAAAAAAATGTTTTGAGTTAGAAAGTGTTTCATAAGAAGTATAAGGAATGCCTCTTACCACAACACTGACAAAGAGGTCTGGAACTCACAGTACAACTGAGTAGAGAATTTTAAATATGAAGCAGTCAACATTTCATTTGGTGGGGAAGAAACCAAAAAGACCTGCTCCCCTGCCATACATTGCCCTTTTCTAAGCCATCAGATCCGTTTCTTAGCTTGCTTACTTTAAAATACAAGGGCTTCCCTAATCTGACCAGCCTACAGGCTCAATGCTTTTATATCCCTCTCTCCACTTCATCTTGAGGGTTGTCAGAAGAACACTCAGCTCCTGGAATAGTAAGGGCCATCTAGGGGTTCTGTGGACTGCTACAGCCAAAAAAAGTCTGGCTGTGCCCTGTGATGTCCCAAGCCTTATATCATATTAATTCAGCTTAACAGCTAAGACATGTCTGAAGCATAAAACCTCCTCAGACCCTTTGCTCTGCTCACTCCATTGTCTTTGTTGATTCCTTAATGTCCTTCATGTAGCCATGAATTTTTACCTTTTATTATCATGCCTCACTAGGACTGGAACAGCCTCCTCAATCCAATCTGATGCATGCCCTCATTCTGTTCATGCAGAGTTGTGTTTTGTCAATCCATCGCCAACTCCTCTTGTATGACTGACATTGAACTCTAAAAAGGAATGAAAAAAAAGGGGTGGGAAAGAAATATGCTAGTCAAGAAACAAACAAACAAACCAACCATCTGATCTAACAAGACCCATGTGTGCAAATCATTGTCTGTGACCCATTCTTTTTCTGACTTCTGCCATTTTTACTTTTTTTCCTTCCTATGTATAAATAGAGTAATCAAATTGTACTTGTTAACCAGTATGCAAGATTATACAGGAGCACATCTGGGAAGGACTGGAAGGGGGGACGATGCTCAGGGGCAACCAGCATGGGTTTATTAGGGGCAGGTCCTGTCAGACGAACCTGATTGCCTTCTATGATCATGTCACAAAATCATTGGACATAGGTATCGCGGTGGACATAGTCTTTCTGGACTTCAGGAAGGCCTTTGACACTGTTTCCCACTCCATTCTCATTAAAAAGCTAGGCAACTGTGGCATTGATGCCTATACAGTCAGATGGGTCACAAACTGGCTGAGAGACTGAACCCAGAGAGTGGTGGTGGATGGGTCATATTTGACCTGGAGGGACGTGGGCAGTGGGGTCCCCCAGGGCTTGGTCCTTGGGCCCGCACTGTTTAATCTTTATTAGCGACTTGGACAAGGAGGTGAAAAGCACCCTGTTCATTCGCTGATGACACCAAGATCTGGGGTGAGGTGGGCATGCTAGAAGGGAGGGACAGGATACAGCTGGACCTGGACAGGTTACAGGGGTGGGCGAATGAGACTAGGATGGGATTCAATACTGACAAGTGCAAGGTACTGCACTTGGGCAGTAAGAACCAGCAGCATACCTATAGGCTGGGGAATTCCCTTCTTGAAAGCACGGTGGCAGAAAGAGATCTTAGAGTCATTATCAATTCCAAAATGAACATGGGCCGCCAATGTGAGGACGCAGTCAGTAAGGCTAACCACAACTTGTCATGCATCCACAGATGCATCGAGAGCAGGGCCAAGGAGATGATCCTCCCCCTCTATGTGACACTGGTCAGGCCATAGTTGGAGTACTGCGTCCAGTTCTGGGTGCCGCACTTTAGGAGAGATGTGGCCAGCATCAAGAGGGTCCAAAGGAGGGCCACTTGCATGATCAGGGGGCAGCAGGGCAGACCCTACGAGGAGAGGCTACAGAACCTGAACCTGTTCAGCCTTCACAAGAGAAGGCTGAGAGTGGACCTGGTGGTCATCTACAAACTTACTAGGGGGGACCAGTGGGGAATGGGAGAGACCCTATTCACCCGAGCACCTCCCAGAGTAACAAGGAATAATGGCCATAAGTTGTTTGAGAGTAGGTTCAGGCTGGACTGTTTCACAGTCAGGGCAGCTAGGATTTGGTACCAACTTCCACGGGAAGTGGTGCTGGCTCCTACCTTGGGGGTCTTTAAGAGGAGGCTGGAAAATTACCTATCTGGGGTCATATGAGCCCAGTATTTTCCCCTGCCCAGGGCAGGGGGTTGGACTTGATGATTTACTTAGGTTCCTTCCGACCCTACATCTATGAATCTGTACTGTACTTAGAATCAGATTTTAAATCCAAGGACACAACCACCAGAAGTTGCAGTTCTTACCTTCCTCCATCTGTTCTTTCTTATGGATGAGTATTTCATTTTTAAAAATACACATTTGATAATGCTCCTAAAAGTCCCCTCTTCTCTTGAAGTCTATTTTGTATAAATTATAGCAGTTTCCATTCACTGTATCAACTACAAACCATGCCATTACATTTTTTGTGTCTAACAAGCTGTTAATGTTATCACTGAGTGAAAATGAGAATTTCTATCATGCAGGAGTATCTAATATTTTGGCATCTGTTTTCATCTGAATCAGTAAAAAACTTGAAATATCGGTATTCTTAACATAGTAGAGAATTAAAAAAAATAAATTTAGCAATGTCTAAATGTTTTAGTCACTTTGATGTTAACAGTATTTCCCATGAGATATTTGTGATAACTGAAAGGTATACACACTGATGTCAAACACTGAAATAGACACCATGTTTGGTTTAACTAGATGTACTGTTTGGGCTCAGGTCAAACTAACTCAGACTGAAAATTTAAATTTGGAAACATCAAAATGCTTTGGCTAGTTTGATGTTAACAGATTTCATGAGACACTTGTGATAACTAAAGGTAGACTGCTTGGTGTCAAGCTGACCTAAAAACACACATTTTAATATTTATAACTGGGTCATTTGAGCCCAGTTCTCTCTCCTGCCCAGGGCAGGGGGTCAGACTAGAAGATCTGCAAGGTCCCTTCTGACCCTACGTCTGTGAAAACATTTAGAGTTTTTAAAAGACAGTTTAACAAACATCAATGTTTGGGTTTGGGTTGAATTTACACAGAAAAAGAAATATTTAGCTTTGTATTTTTCCCCAACAGCAAACTGAAAAAGGGAAAATATAACAATGTTTTTGTGAAAAATTCTGATTTTGCAGAAGTCATACTTTCCATCCACAATAGGAAATCACATTATATTTTTTTACCAGTTTACAAAGATTTCTGATAGCAACATGGCCGACAAATTCTGCAACAGCAAGTACTGCAAAAGGAAAACCTAGGTTTTAACCTAGGTAAATATTACTTTTTATACAATTGATTTATTTTATAATTTTGATTGTCTGTGGATATTTGTGACAGGTCTGGGTCCCAGGGGTGGCCATGATGTCCTCTGGGGGCCATGCAATTCCTGCCTGGCTCTAACTCTAGTGGGCTCTTATTCCTCACTTGCCTGTTACCATGGGCGATTGGTGCCTCCTGAGTTGGGGGGCAGTTAGCGACTGGAGAGGGGTGGGGGGCCAAGTTCCCCTGTGGCCAATTGTGCCAACTGGGGGGGCACCCTAAGCCAAGTGTGCTGACTGACAAGGGACCACAGGGATTGCTTCTCCTGGAGCCCCCACTCCCCAGCCAGCGCTCTCAGGATGGGCACCAGTGCTCTCATCTGCCCCCGCCCCGCCCATTGCCTAAGCAGAGAACACTGCTGTAAGAGGGTGCCCAGTGCTCTCAGAGGGTGCACGTGTATCCTCTTGCATCCCCTATGTGTCACCACTGCCTGTCATGCCTTTGATGTTATTGGAAAGGACATCCAATAGTGGATGTCCTCCCAGTGTCTCCCAGTGGAAAGGAGGGAGGCTGCCTGAGGATCTCAAAGTGAGCCTGCCATTGCTCATGTATCAGGCTTTGGCCTTCTCAGCCTCTGCCCTTTTTGCTATTGCTGAGCTCTCTAAATACCGTCACTGACTGAATGGAGCTTCGGGGTTCCCTGCTTCTTGTCTGTGTTTCAGGGCCTTATCTCTTCCCTCTCTCGGGTTGCTGAGCTTCCCCAGGAGCTCTGGGACTGCCCCTCATGGGCTCTATCATATCACCTCTCTGGGTGTGCTCAGTGTGCCCCTCTCGCACACTGTAGGATTGTCCCATCCAGGCTCTGTGTGGCTGAATTGTCACTGCTGCTGCCCCAGGAGGACTCCAGGTAAGGGATTGAGACCAGAGAACTTCTCTACATAGCTTGTTCCAATACTTGGCCACCCTCATAGTCAGAAACTTCTTCCTAATCACCAACCTAAATTTCCCCTGCTATAGCTTCAGGTCGTAGTTCTTAATTCTATCCCCAACAGCCATGGAGAAAAGCTAATCGCCATCCTTCCTGTAATTACCCTTCAGGTATTTTAAGATTTATCTAAACAACCCTCAGTCTTCTCTTTTCCAGACTGAAAAACCCTAGTTCTTTCAGTCTTTCCTTAAAAGTCTTGTTTCCCAGCTCCCTAATAATTCTTCTTTTCTGCAATGGACTCTTTCCAGTCCATCCACATCTTCCTTGAAGTGTGGGGTGAAAACTGGACACAGTATTCCCAGCGAGGCCTCACCAGTGCTGAATAGAGCAGAAGAATCAGTTCCCTTGATTTCAAGTGACACTCTTGTTAATACAACACAGGATGCTGTTGGGTTATTTTAGCAACAACTGCATCACATTGGCTCATATTCACGTTATGGTCTATTGTAACTTCCAGGTCCTTCTCTGCAGCATTGCAGCCCAGGAAATCATTCTCCAGTCTGTATTTGTGCATGAAATTATTTGATCCCAAGTGCAGGACTTTGCACTTCTCCTTTTGGAATGTCATCTGATTGATTTCGAACCACTTTTCTAGTCCATTCATGTAATTCTGATCCTAGCATACTATGACTAAATTTCCACTTTTTATAGGATTCCTTTTTGAGTTTCAACTAATTGAAGAGACTTCTATCTAGCCACATGCACCAGTACATAATCTTTCTAGCTACAGTCATCAGTTCTGCAGGCTGCGCTGAGCAGGGGAAACCAGAACCTTTCCAGTACTGTGGGACCCAGTTTATGCTAGAAGGTAGGATTAGGAGACAAAGACATCTAGCAATGGTCTCCAGTGTTTTATAATGCTTAACAGTTGATTAAATGAGCTTGTTGGCATGAAGCAATCCAGTCTGCCAAATCCCAATTTGACCCTGAGTCTCAGGACATCTGGTAGTTTTCTGAATGCACCAAAATACATAGAATAAATGAAAACTCCAGTTTTCCTTTTGAAGAATGTTTCTAGCCCTGTTGGTTACAAAGAAGCAAACCTAAAGATTCAAAATCCAGGAGACCAATAAAAAAAGATCCAAAACATATTGTTTTTATGAAGTCTCATGATGCTGGAGCCCTGACTTGTGGTTTTCTAATATTTTATGTAGCGTTACAATCATAGGAAAAGTCACTTGCGTGAGCAAAAAATGGCAAAACCAGAGGATTCAAATGTATATAGTAACTACATAAATCTGTAGGGTTCTGTTAGATGAGTGGAGTTCACTATCTGCACCATTGTAGCACAGAATGAGGATTGAAAATGACTATTTCAAGACAGTAACGTCCAGTTCTCGTCATTATAGTAAATTAAATGCTCTTGTATTATTGAAATCAGAAGTCTTCCAGGCATTTACCCATTTAGAGAGACTATCCAAATATTTGGCATGCATAGCATGAAACTTCCAGAGTAGC